CCATAATATGTCCCGTAAACAGGCCTATTATAATGCATTTATCTATTTCTTTTTCTAAAATATTACTGATTGAATTCTATCAAATTAGGTAAATATTTGTATGGAAAGAACATAAAACGGCGAAATGTTTTCTTAAATTTGTCATAAAATCATAAAATCTCCAATTTCAAATCCATAGATTTTTCTTAAAAAGCTATATATTGTTGATAAATAAATTTCAGTTTTAATTATGTAAAATAATAATATGGTCACTGACTTCGTATTTACGGTATACATAATTCAAAGTGGTATTCTAAGTGAAAAAATACCACAAACCCTCAAAATTAGAATAATCTATGGATTTGAAATTGGAGATTTGAAGATTTTAACATTTTAAGACCATTTTTTGTCGATTTTGTGTACTTTCTTTACAAATATTTAGTTGAAGAATTCAATAAGTAATATTTCAGTCATTAAATGAGATAAATGCACAATTCTTTGATTTTCAGTTATTGTCCAACAAGCTAAATTTTACCAAAATCTGGGATATAGCCCATTTACTGTTCCTTGATCCTTAAATGAATATGGATGAATATGCAATAAAAAACAATTATTGATAGGCAATAAACAATTGTTGATTATGTTTTATTATAAGCTTTCAAGACTATTGTGTATGCACAATTATAATAAAAACATATATAACAGAAATTAGTACCATCAACAATAATCAGCAGTAATTAACATTTTTTCAATTAACTGTGATCATAACCAGATTGAATTAAGTGATTACGACTGGTGTTACTTTGGTTCACGATCCTCAAACAATTGTTGAATAAACAAACCAATTACAAACATTGATTTGATTTAAACATGTCATCATGCATGCAGACCTGCCAACTTTTGAAAATCTCCATTGGGAATTTAGTGCGTGACCAGATTTTTTAGGGTTACAATTTTTGCGGTGTTTCTGTGTGCAGTGTTTTTACTCTTGACATAGTCTCATATCAAATGCATATCTCTTCTTTTTTCTTTAGGTAAACTGATGATGAGCTAATAATTTCTTTTTTGCATGATTCTTGTACTTATTAATTGGCAAAACAACTTAATGAAGAAAAATGGCCTAAAAAAATAAAGGAGACAACGTGAAGACCCCCCCCCCCCCCCTTTCCCCTCCAATGACCTTCTTATCTTTGCACCATGACTCAAAAGACCTAAACCTAAATATCCTAAAGTTTAGAAGGATGAAGACAGATATTGAGTTAGTCTATCAGTATCAATGAGTAAATTGATAAAATTTTAGTTATCTTTCTTTGTGTTCAGAGGTGCTCTTACCAGAGGCTTATGCACAGTAGAAGTGAATACAAAATGGCATCGATTATAAATAAGAACTGGACAGAAACACTATTTCAAAAATTTTAACGGATTTCAAGATAAACGCTGTTTTCTTATGAGTTCATTACAGTTTTTGTCTTTCAGTTAATTACGATTTAGTCATGAAACTACAGTAAACGTTGCAAATTGTGATCGAATGATAAATTGATTGCGACTGACCGATTCTGTTTACAAATTAATTAATTATGAGGATCGTTATGACCCATCAGATAGGCAGATTACCTGTAACAACAAATTATGACATCTGTTGTGACTGTTGATTAGCGTAGGGTCGTAAACTTGTCGTGAATATGTCTCCAGGTAAAGAAATTGATCAGAAAAACTTCGAAAACAGTAACCATTAATTTTTTCAGGAAGATTTTGTGAAAATTAGGATTTTGACTTGTTTTAAGATTCAATATTGGGATTCAGGTTGAGGCATGAAAATCGGGATGATAACGCCAAAAAATCGGGATAGTTGGCAGGTCTGTGCATGTCATGATGATTTCATAATTATATTGTTCCATCAGATTGTAAATATTTTTCCAAGTTATCATGGAAAATAACTTCATGTTTACATGCTTATGCTGCTTTAAAAGTGACAGTACAAATCATACTCCTTTTCGAATCGATTTAAAATAAATCATCTGAATGTTCTCCAATATGAGGGAGCAACCATTTAACTTCAAGGGGGGGGAGGGGGGGGGGGATTATGGTTTTTTGTCTGAGTCAGAAAAACATTTTTTTTTTGTTTTCTGACGCTTTCAATCAATTTATTTTTTTTTCAAAATTTAACACTATAATGTATATGGGGTAAATCTGGATTCAGAATATTTCTTTTTGTCAACTTCTAGACCACAATATTTTTTTTCATCAAATTGGGGATCAGAATATTTTTTTAGGAGAAAGCCATAACCGGATCGGTATGGGGCTGGAACGACCTAATGCCTTGTCTATAATTGCTTACATCCACTTCATTTGAATTTTGGCGGATAGTTGTCTCATTGGCAATCATACCAGATCTCCTTATTTTTATATTTAAAACTTTTACAAATTACAGTTGCCCATGTTTGTTTGTACTCTGACAGAGAAATTACGTGGCGTAAATGTAAGCGTACTTTCATTCCGCCGTGTATTTATTCCGGGTAACTGTTTTTCACTAGAGAATATTGGATGTAAATAGTGTGAAAGCGTCGATCTTGATATCGTTGTTTTGTTTATATTAGACCGGATTATTGTTTGTAAACATAAATAAATGGGTTAAAATTAAAATGATTTTCAAGGAAACAGTTTAATTAATCTGAGTCAATCTAGTAAATAATATTGATGATGATGAGGAGGATATTTTTATAACTCAAAATACTTTATCAATGATCAGGACATTGAACATGATACAAACCAAATTTAAAGAGCAGATGTGTTCTTACATAAAGTTTCAATTACAGAAGCATCCTTTGATATTGACATACAAGATATTATAAGTTATCTACATTGTACGTTCAAATCTGTAGATATGGATATTTTAACACCCTGAAGTATCCAAGTACACCCTGAGGCGAAGCCGAAGGGTGTACAGGGTACTGAAGGGTGTTAAAATATCCATATCTACGGATATGAAAGTAGATAACGAATTTATCCCCGGTCTTAGTCCAAATCTTGCGATTATTTAGAGAAATTCAACCACAAAATGTAACGTGAAAGCAACGTTTTTTTTCATTTTCTAAAAATCTTTTATTGAAATTTGGGAATTTAACATATCTTTTACGGGGTGTAGGGTACTACCTTTGGTAGAACCCTACAGGTAGTCAAATATAAGACGTTTTTAATACGGAGACAGAGAAACTGGAGTGGGTCGAATTTGGCAATCAATGTTGTGATAGTTACATCATAGACAGTGTGACGTCAACGTGGGTCATTTGCATAGCTAGGTCAGTAGTCCCATTCATAGACAATGTGGCAGCCAAGTGATGCATTTACTAAAATGAGTGCAAATGATCGACAAAATAAGATAACATCGTTAGTTGATTAAATATTTAATTACAGACATCATGAATAATCTACAGAATTCTATATTTCACAAGGAACAACCATGGAACTAAGGAAAACGCGTGTGACGTCCCCCGGGGTAATGGATAGCAACGTCCAGGTATATGGGTTAGCAACACCCAGGGGCTATGGGTTTTGTAACGACGTGCGTTATCCAATCAAAATCCTAGAAATATACTAAGCCGGGGATAAGATTTAATATCCAAGATTCCAAGTCGACCGAAAAGCAAATACATAGAAAAACTTCGGCAATTCAATAAATAGAAATATTACAATTAGTGACAATTTAAAAGCATATGATTTTATAAATTTGCATAGAAAAATTATTTAAATCTCATTCGTTAATAAGCATTATTGTGTTATGGCGTGTTCAAAATGAGTACTAATCACTTCATCAATGAATGGATCTAAAGCACTAGTATAATTAAGGTTCATCATAACAAATGGACAAATATGGCCGTATTTTCACCTCAAAAACTACACTGTGTACAGACTTACCTGAGCAGTTTGGAAAGTTTTAAGGCCTGGCATCCACTAGATATATAAAAGTTAAATGTATTTTGTATATCAGAAAGGTAAAATCGTTTTTGGATTTTAATGGGCATTTTTTTTCATTCCTGCAGAAGGTGTAAAAATAAACTAAGTTGGGATACAACTTTGAGATGCTCCCTCTCAGGTAACAACTGGTTTGTATTGTATTGATTGTACTTGATTGGCATGGACAATAGATATCTACACATCTATAGGTGAGTTAAAGGTAGTAACTGAGTGGACAGTATCAAATGCAATTCAGGTGTTTGTTTATTTTTACACCTTCTGCAGGAAGGAAAAAAAATGCCCATCAAAATCCAAAAACGATTTTATCTTTCTGAAACACAAAATGCATTTAACTTTTATATATCTAGTGGATGCCAGACCTTAAAACTTTCCAAACTGCACAGGTAAGTCTGTACACAGAGTAGTTTTTGATGTGAAAATACGGCCATATTTGTCCATTTGTTATGATGAACCTTAATCCCGCCTGGTATAAAATAACTAGTGCAATCATTCCGGTACAAAATCACTAGTGTTATCATTCCTGATTCAAAAACACTAGTGTGAACATTCCTTGGATGAAAACTCTCCACTTTTTACATAAATCAACTATGCAATTTTCAAATACACTAAAAACTATTAAGCCACATTTTATATATATTTCCCCTTCGAAAAAACCTTTTTAGAACCTTATAATGACTGGTGGATGTTTTACACTGGACCTGGATAGAAAACCCTAGTGATTTTTTGTTGGTGGATAAAAATCACTGGGGATTTTATTCCTCCGGATAAAGTACACTGGCGGAATCAAACCACTGTTACACAAACACAGCCAGTTTTGGAAAATACTCATTAATGATTGGTTTAAGACTTGCCATTTTTGCAAATTCCCTTCGCATGTAAACCGACATCGTAGCAACCTCAAAGTTTGATTTTGTTTAGTCTGGATCTAATTTATGAAGAAATGCGGAACGTCGAGGATTCTATTGGGTATGGGGAAAGGAACGATATTTTCTGTTATGGCATTATCATATTCTGCAATAATTATTTCCGGTATTTTATGATGGCGATTCAGTATCTGCAGCTGATGTTGATTTTCCTACCATTTGTAATTGGATCATCATCATATTATAAATGTAATTTAGGGTCAAAGTTTACAGCCAACAGTTCATAACCAAAAGATTGCATCACCTATATTTTTGCTATATATATACTCAAAGGGAAGACTTTTTTCAATACATATCTGACAATTGTTATAATTTTAAAAATTTAAATAAATCTTCTAAATTTTTATGGCTCTTGACTCAAGAAAATTAACTCTTATGGAATAACTGGGCTGTTATATTTGTGACTGTTTTGAATTAAGGAGATCAGGTATGCATATTGACACTAAGTCAAGTAAATGATTTGAGAATGAATGCATATAATGTAATTTTATTCTTTTATTCACAATATATATGTGGTTTTTGGCTCTGATTCTGACCAATGCTAATATACTAAATATATATTTTCAAGTGACTTATTATTGTTGTTGTTACCAATTATGTAAATCAATTGTATCTGATTTTATGCCCTTTATGGGCCCTGTAATTTGGGAAATAAAATATTCTATTCTATTCTATTCTATACTCAATAACTCTGTATATATAAAACACACATGTTTTCAAAAAAATTATTTTGAAAGCATTTTACCAACCATGACTGAAAAAATTCTTAACAGACACATTATTATCTTGATCCGAATCAAGGACTTTCTAAAGGGCCCAAACTAGGCAACTTTTGGAGTGGGACATGTAAAAAGTTATACATTAAGGTTTATGTCACCCCTTCTGTAGACTGTAGCCTGTAGGCCAGTGTTACTGTATTACAAAATTTTCAAGTTGCAATATTATCTGATTATCAAAACAGCAAAAAAATCAAATACAAGAGACAAGAGACATGCCACTAAGATAAAATAAGAAATTTTTTTTTTCAAATTTTAATAACTTTCTTAAACTATCCTGGATTTGTACCATACTTGGACAGAAGCGTTGTTTATGATCAAAAGATAGTATTCAAAAGTAAATTTTGTTAAAAAAAAATCCTGTTTATCCGTATTTTACTTATAAATGGACTTTTTTATATAGATTAGACCGTTGGTTTTCCCGTTTGAATGGTTTTACACTAGTAATTTTTGGGGCCCTTTATAGCTTATTGTTCGGTGTGAGCCAAGGCTCCGTGTTGAAGACCGTACTGTGACCTATAATGGTTTACTTTTATAAATTTTGACTTGGATGAAGAGTTGTCTCATTGGCACTCATACCACATCTTCTTATATCTAATTAGTTTTTCTGCCAGTTAACATTACATTCACTCTGGTTAAAGTTTTTAAAACTTTAATAACTTTCTTAAACTATCCTGGATTTGTATGACACTTGGACAGAAGCTTGTTTATGATCAAAAGCTAGTATCTAGAAGGAAATTTTGTAAAAAAAATTCCTGTTTTTTCGTATATTACTTATAAATGGACTTAGTTTTTCTTCCAGTTAACGTCACATACAGTCTGCAGTTAAAGTTTTTAAAACATTTATTAGATTCATAAACCATCCTGGATTCTTACCAAACTTGAACAGAAGCTTCTTACATTCAAAAGATAGTATCTAGAGGAAAATTTTTAATAATTATTTCCCCATTTTTGTTGAGCCTGCGACTAACAGCAAAAGTAGGCGAGACACTGGGTTCTGTGGAACCCTTACAATTTTTTTTTATGTTAGTTACAATGTATGTCACAATGTAATTCATGTGAATGCCCTTACAATTGTATACATGTGACATAAATAATATCAAATCAAATCAAATTATTTTATTGGTGTAAATTCCAAAACAGGAATGATACCAGCTGACATTTACAAAATACAAATACAAAAACAGACAAAAATAAACAAAAAACAAATATACAGAGATATGTTTTCTCAATGATAAGAGACACATATTTTATATCTACATTGCGTGGAGGTGTTATTCATACTATATTATCACTTCAAGCTATTACAATAAGCTTTAATATCATGAAAATGTCTCATTTGAAAATGTTATCCTTAGATCTTATCTTTATCATTGTGTTTATGTTGCCATCAAACAAAATAAAAATGTTTCAGTGCACATGGGGCCATATGAAGTTTAGATAAAGTCTTAAATTTATTTAAGCAAGATTCATCAACAGATTTTGTGTCATACAAGACAGGAAATTAGGATATTTGAATTTATTTTTTATGGATCAAAGATCCCTGGTCATGCTGGTTTTTTTGCTAAAACAGTTTGCATCAACAAGTGGCATATTTAAGTATTTTAGACGATGATATAAAATTTATATCGAATTAGACTGAAATTTAAAAATCTTTTTTCATATTCGTGATATTTATAATTCCAGATTACTACATGGATGAGAGATGTGGTGAAGAAATTAATATGCAAGATGATGATATTGAAACAGGAACCCTAGATCTAACAATTTTTCTAACCTATAAGCCAAGCATGAACTGCCAGCTAACAATTAAGGCTCCTGATGACAAGCAAATCATGATATATTTTACAGAAATTGATATGAAAGAGAAAAAGCGAAGATATGGAAACACTTGCGAAGATTATCTGGAATTATTTGATGGATCAACTACATCTAACAATAGTGTTCCAGGTATTTGTTTTGTACATCTAACAAAAGTGTTCCAGGTATTTTTATGCCCCCGCTGTAGCGGAGGGGGCATTAAGTTTTACCCTTGTCTTTCTGTCATGTCTGTACGTCCATTCGTCCATACATTCCAAAATTGGTTTCTGTTCTCTAACTTTAGTTTGCCTCAACAGAATACTATGAAACTTATACACAATGCTTATTACCATAAAACACAGATCAAGTTTGAATTTGGGTGGCATCACTTTTACTGTTCTAGAGTTATGCCCTAAAGTTGCAAATGGAAAAATTGCTGATTTTTTTGTTTCCGTTCTCTAACTTTAGTTTGCCTTAACCAAATGTTATGAATCTTATACACAAGGCTTATTACCACAAAACACAGATCCAGTTTGAATTTTGGTGGTGTCACTTTTAGCGTTTTAGAGTTATGCCCCTTTATAAATGGAAAAATTGCTGAATTTTTTTTCCGGTTCTCTTACTTTAGTTTGCCTCAACCAAATATTTTGAAACTTATACACAATGCTTATTGCCCAAAACACAGACCAAGTTTGAATGTTGGTGGCGTCTTTTACCATTCTAGTACAAATGGAAAAATTGCTGAATTTTTCGTTTCTGTTCTCTAACTTTAGTTTGCCTGAACCAAACGTTACGAAACTTATGCACATTGCTGATTACCTCAAAACACAGATCAAGTGTGAATTTTGGTGGCGTCACTTTTAGTGTTCTAGAGTTGTGCCCTTTACAAATGGAAAAATTGCTGAATTTTTCATTTCTGTTCTCTAACTTAAGTTTGCCTCAACCAAATGTTATGAAACTTATACATAATGCTTATTACCACAAATAAGTAACAATTATAGTACAAATTTGGGTAGCGTCACTTTTACTTTTCTTGAGTTATGTTCCTTTATAATGCTATATGCAAGCAGGGGCATCATCTGTGTCCCATGGACACATTCCCCATTTATTTGTCATACATCTAACAAAAGTGTTCCAGGTATGTGTTATCATACATCTAACAAAAGTGTTCCAGGTATGTGTTATCATACATCTAACAATAATGTTCCAGGTATGTGTTATCATACATCTAACAATAGTGTTCTAGGTATGTGTTATCATACATCTAACAATAGTGTTCCAGGTATGTGTTATCATTCATCTAACAATAGTGTTCCAGGTGTGTGTTATCATACATCTAACAATAGTGCTCCAGGTATGTGTTATCATACATCTAACAATAGTGCTCCAGGTATGTGTTATCATACATCTAACAATAGTGTTCCAGGTATGTGTTATCATACTACATCTAACAATAGTGTTCAAGGTATGTGTTATCATACATCTAACAATAGTGCTCCAGGTATGTGTTATCATACATCTAACAAAAGTGTTCCAGGTACAAATGAAGTACAATGTATGTGTTGCCATTATACATCTAACAATACATACAATAGTCATGATAGTGTTCCAGGTATTTGTTGTCATTGTATATCTAACAATGGTGATTCAGATATTTGTTGTCATAATACATCTAACAAAAGTGAGAAGTAAGTAGAAAACAATGTGCTACTTTTATTTACAAACATTTCCAACTTTATTATATAAAGTAAAATTCTTGATTCTGGAAAGTGCTATAAAAATACAATGATAAACACTGATGATATTCCTGACATGATACTAGGACTGGAGAGAGGGGGGATGGGGTGTAATTTAAATTGTTTAAATCGGATCACCTCCCATATAATCAGCCAGTAAAAGAAATAATATTGATAATGATAGCTGAATGGTTTTTTTATTATCTGTTTCATAAATTGTGTTTCATCATACAAAAAGGGATATGGTGTATAAATGCATATATCACAAATCCCTACACACACTACAAGTAAAGGAAAGAGGTCCTGACAAGACAAAATGTAAAACAATTCAAACTGACTGATTTATGAGAAAACAATAAACTGAAAACAAATATGACAGTTATGTACAGCAACCAACGACAATCATTAAATCACAGGCTTATAACAGACAAATATAGTATGTGGTAGGGTAAAATAAAGATGTTTGTGGGTACCCAACACTACCCCCAACCTGGGACAGTGGTGTAACAGCACAACATAAGAACATATTGTGAGTTGGAAATTGCTTGACTAATCAAAATTGATAACAATATGTTTATTTCATGAAACCAGAAAATGCATTTGAAAAGCTGCCTTTATAAATATTTAATAAATGTAGTTATTATAATCTAAAAACTATCTATTAATGTTTCCACAAAACTTGTTGATTTTTTATCTTAATCCATAATCCTAGCACAAAATGTTATATATTTATTGTATGTACAACCAGACTTATATTTTACCTTTTATAAGAAATAGTATATAAGATTCAATATATTCATGGTAAAGGTAAAAGGTTATTTTGATAATAGATATACCTGTATTTGTATAGGTTCTGATTTAAAGATATGTGGTGACTATGAGCCAAAGACAGCTTATTACACTAGTGGACAATATCTGACTCTTAGGTTCACCAGTGACTATAGAAGACAAGATAGAGGATTTGTACTTTTGTTTACTTCATTTCATACAGGTATACATGTGCATTTATAATACAAAATAACAATTTGTTGTGATTGTTCCATACAACAATTTTAGATATGAAAATTGAATTGGAACCAATCCATCAAACTCAAATTTAGAAATACACTTTTAAGTCAAGTTATTGAAGTTTTTCATATTTACAATATTTGTACTTCTATTTGCCAGATATTTGATCTATTGTATACCTGAAAGTATAAAATATACTTTTATTATACATATGTACAACTATAAATTTTCTGTTTTCTCATTGCCTAAAAGCATAGGGAATCTTCTTTTGTAAAACATCATTATCACTGCAGGAAAAATCATTAGAGGTTAATATAAGATTTGTAACAGCTTTGGTGTACCTAATTATATATGTATAGTATAAAATTGAGAATGGAAATGGGGAATGTGTCAAAGAGACAACAACCCGACCATAGAGCAGACAACAGCTGAAGGCCACCAATTGGTCTTCAATGCAGCGAGAAACTCCCGCACCCGGAGGTGTCCTTCAGCTGGCCCCAAACAAATATGTATACTAGTTCAGTGATAATGGACGTCATACTAAACTCCAAATTATAGACAAGAAACTAAAATTAAAAATGATACATGACTAACAAAGGCCAGAGGCTCCTGACTTGGGACAGGCGCAAAAATGCGGCGGGGTTAAACATGTTTTTTGAGATCTCAGCCCTCCCCCTATACCTCTAGCCAATGTAGAAAAAACAAACGCACAACAGTACGCACAGTAAAACTCAGTTCAAGAGAATTCAGAGTCCGATGTCAGAATAGGAAACAAAAGAAAATAAACAAAATGACAATAATACATAAATAACAACAGACTACTAGCAGTTACTGACATGCCAGCTCCTGACCTCAATTAAACTGATTGAAAGATTATGTCTTCATCATATGAATATCAGGCACAATCCCTCCTGTTAGGGGTTTAGTATTATACCGTCATAAAATATATGAGAAGAACATAACCCGTGTCATGCCAACAACTGGTTTTAGAATAAATATGTTTAATCCGATGCAAAGACCCTATAAGTGAATCAATATTAAAGCCAAAATATGCAATCTTTAATGACCTGACAACAGTATCGTAACTATATCCCTTCTTAATAAGTCTGTTTAAAGATTTTGTTAGCTTTTGAGGTGAATACTGACATTTTTGTGCTTTGTAAAGAATATTACCATAAAAGATTGGATGTGAAATACCCAAACGTATAAGATGTCTGCATGTTGAGTTATATTTACGAATGATGTCCTTATACCGATGATAAAATTTAGTAAATGTTTTGACTAGTTTATGATATCGAAAACCCTGGTGTAATAATTTTTCAGTAATACATAAATTTCTCTCGCTAAAATCTAATACATTGTTACATACACAAGCGAATCGTACAAGTTGAGATATATAAACACCATAAGATGGCCACAAGGGAACGTCACCATCTAAAAATGGATAATTAACGATAGGAAATGAAAAATCATCTCTTTTATTATAAATTTTTGTATTAAGCTTCCCGTTAATGATATAGATATCAAGATCGAGGAAAGGACAGTGGTCATTGTTAGTATTAGCTTTATTTAAAGTAAGATCAACAGGATAAATTTTTTTAGTATACATACTGAAGTCGTCATTATTGAGAGCCAATATATCATCCAAATATCTAAAAGTATTGTTAAATTTTTGTATCAGATGTTGTTTCGATGGGTCTTTGCTGATTTTAGTCATAAATAATAACTCATAACAATACAAAAACAGGTCCGCAATAAGTGGTGCACAGTTAGTGCCCTTTGGAATTCCGATAACTTGACGATATACGGAATCTCCAAAGCGAACAAAAATGTTATCAAGTAAAAATTCAAGGGCAGATATAGTATCAATGCATGTCCAATTGACTTAGTTCTTTTGTTTGTTGCTACTAAAAAATGACCTAAAAGAGTTTGAACATATGTATTCGCATTCCGACTTTTTAAATGCCCATTTAATTAGGTGTGTGAATTTTATCTTAAATGTAATGTAATGGGTAATTTCTGTGAGCTATTTAAGGGATGTATATTTAAAAAAAAATTGGATGATCAAATGAATATCAACCATGACTTTTGTCATTAAAGTGTTTCAATAAAGCAGAAAAAGCTGAAATATGCAATATGGTCAGTCAGAACCTACAACAAATTTTGATCACCAATTGGTAAAATCAGAACCAATGTTCTAATGGATTTATTTTACAATATCAAAATATTAGAATGACACTGAGAATTAGAAAAAGGCATTTTTCGGAGAGAAAAAAATTGCAAGAAAAGGCATTTTTTTGCAAAAAGGGGATTCTAGATCTGCATGCATTTCATAAGGGCTATTCCATTAAAATGTATATGGGAGGGTAGGAAGGGACTTTCAAAATATCCCTACAACCAACAACCATTTCTTAGATAATTTTGCATAATGGTAATAGAAGCATACTGAAAAAAGACCCATGACCCACATTCAATAATTAAACTTCCCTTCCTACCCTCCCACATACATTTTAATGGAATAGCCCTAATAATATTAGAATATCTGCTCTCTTAAAATACTTCCTCTTGTTGTGGCTGAGAGAATAGCCAAATTCTTATCAACACATATTATATGGATGAGAGAATTTATTTTATTTCCATACTTAATAAGCCCTCCAGGATTTATGGCTTTGTATATTTAACTTTTAGGATAAGAGAATAAGTTTTATATTTCTAGAAATGTTTAAAACTGCAATTTCTAATGGTGTATTCAATTGATATATTCATTTTAAAAAACAAATTAACATTATTAAAAGTATTAATAATAGAACTTATTGCACTGAAAACTTGTTTTTGATCTCTATTCAATAATATTTTATGATCCATTTAGGTCTTTGTAATGGGACAGAAGAGTTCCAATGTCAACAAGGACAGTGTATATCTAAATCTTTCCAAAATGATGGTTACAGTCAGTGTGGGGACTACAGTGATGAACTTATAACCAATACAGACATGGATTACTATGCTGTTGGTGCAGTGGTAGTAATCATATGTATAATTGTTGCTACATGTTATATCTGTAAAAGACATAAACAAAGAGGAGCTGTCATCAAGGTATTTCATGATCAATTGAAATATCCCCTCCCCCACCCCTCACAGCAGTGAGGGAGACATTAGCCATATACTTTTTCATCTTTTACACATCCTTGAAATTTGAATAGAATGATCATATTCAAGTAGTTTGTAAAAAAAATGCTGCAAAAATGAATTCTTAGATATCAAATAATAATTGGGGTAAATTTTAAATAATTGTTGAAAATGGGGTGGATTTTTATGAACGTTTCTTAATTTACTCAATTTTGAGTAAAACAACTGTAAACTTTTTTTCAATTAATGATGCAGAAAGGAAAGTCATGGATGAATTCTTAGATTTCATCAAATAGTTTTTAAGTAAATGTTAAAGCTTTTTTTCAATTGAAAATTGTAGAATTCCAGCATTTTGTCTTTTCTTATAGTTTGTGCAATATATTAGTTAGAAATAAACCTATTAAATATATTTCCATTTATAATGTTGGTTAATTCAACAAACATTCGTTTGCTAAGTGATGCTTTTATAAGCTCTTATTTTTAGTGAACCTTGTGATCTTTATATAAAAGTACAGCGACCCTATGTAATTTTGTGACTGTTTTAGTGCACAGTTAATTTTTAATGAGGAAAAGTTGATGATGAATGTTCTATACTCAGAGCTCGAGGTAATGCAGAGATTTGACAATCTAGAGGGCATGACATTAAAAAAAACAAGCAAAATAACACACAGAACAGAAAATATAAAATGTTATTAACCAATGACTAAAAATACATTATAAATTGTCCAGTTAATACAATTCTGTGTGTTTGAGAACTGGTCGTCAATACAGGTCTAATACAGAAAAAACAGTTAATACAGAATGTGTACTGGTCGTAATACAGGATTTCAACTTCTGGGTTTTGGTTCAAAAAGGTGTCAGAAAATGGATATGTGTATTACGTGAAATATTAGATTTCAATAAGTTTGATGTTAGAGTTATTGTTATTTGTCATATGCTATACTATTTTATTCTTTGAATATATACAATTATGGACTGTGGAAAGGGTGAATATCTAGAATTGTCAATCGTAAAAGATTATTTCTCCAAGGGTGCTGTCCGAAGTGAGAGAAATTTGTAGGGTCGATAATCTTGGATATGCACCGCTTTGAATGGGCCACATTTGTTTAATTATACCAAAGGGCCCCCCGAACCATTGAAAATACCTGTAAAAGAAACTCTTTTATGTGCCTTACTGTAGTAACAAATTGTCAAAATACTTATGCAAGAGATTTATTTTTGTGACTTAAAAAGCCTATGTACAACAAACGCAGACTCTTTCTGTAAAATATTGGTGGCCCTGAAAGTGGCTGTTTGTGATAGCTATCCTCGGCACCAAATGGATTTCAAATACTTGTTTCTTCGTCACTCAAGTCAACGGACATGGCACATTATTAATTTTTAGGGCTATCCATTATTCCTTGCATTAAAATGATTATTAACCCAAATAGTTCATATTGATCCTGTATGAGTCTTCCTAAAACGTGTTTATCCTCAGTCAGCTTTGGTGGTTAATTTAAGTCATTGGTTAATAAAGGTGTCATAAAATGGATGTTTTCATCTTAATCATGTATAATGTCCTCATTCAGTTGTATTGGGTCTCGATTAGCTGTATTGGCCCTCGACTTCGCCACGAGCCAATACAAATAACCACAACCCAATACGACTGTACTTAAACATAATACAGGATTAATATGAAAACACCCATTTACTAACACTATATTATTGCTTGCTTCATAAAAAGCATATTCAAAACAAAATCATGATTTAAACTTAAACTGGACATTGCTTAAAACTGCTTATATGACTTCTGCTAAATTAACATCCACATATATACTTTAATGCAATTTTATTACAATGTCAATTTCCTTTGTCTTTATTACTTTTCTGAGCTCACCAGAAAAATCATGCATCACTTATTTCTAAATACTATCAATCAAAACTGATGTTTTATGATATTATTATCTGTATTAAGAAAAACTTGATATTCCTCACAGATAAGAAAGTAAAGTTGGGATAGGTGTAGTATATTCACCATTGTTAGCGGGTTCAAATTAAGCTGTAGTGTACTTGTATTTAATAAGTGTAATTTATTCTTTTTTTTCTATGAAATTCACAGAGATCGGGAAATCAGTCAGAAATACCACTAACTTCGCAACCAGTTTCTCAGCCATTTCATGGACAACAACCTGGATATCAACAACCACCAGCAGTATATCAACACCAACCAGCAAGCTATCCACAACAACAACCAGGATATCACCCACAGTCTGGATACCCACCACAACCTGTATATACTGATCACATAGGACATCCTCAACCAGGATATGTGCCACTGCCAGGGAATCCTCAACCAGGCTATGTGCCACTGCCGGAGAAGCTGCCACAACCAAGCTACCAACCACCACCCGGATATCCTTCTCAACCAAACTATCACCCAGGATATCATTTAGTAGATCCCCCACCGTATACAGAAAGTCCATATCCTTCAGCCCCACCAAAACAGTAAAGATAAAAGGCAGATTTCATGCCTCAGTGTGTGGCTAGGGTTTTAACTATGTTTGTTATTCTGAAATGTATTTATAATAGTTGTCCTGACGTTTTTCAGAATGTTAACATATTTTATGCTAAATTATGGTGAGTAGAAAAAAGTAAGAAGATACCAGGGGATTAATATAAACAAATATCAATGAGTTCCTAGGAACTTTATAATTTTGCTGTTTGACATCTGTTTGTCTAATTATTTGTGGTATGTTTCAATTGGCATACTTTTGATGTAATTTATAATATTCCTCTGATCCAGAAAATTTCATGAAAGTTGTACATTTTTGTATGAATTAGATGCAATGTTGGGTTTTAAAACTCTTTTAGACAGCAACCTAATGACACAAAAAAACATTTAGAAGTCAACATATAATTGTCAATGATATACAATCACTGAAGAGATTCCATTCAGATGGGCACATGAACATTATTAAATTGGTTTAACCTTTTTCTTTTTCAAATCTCCTCTTTTTAATCTTAATCAGTGAAAAAGAATAAAGTTGCATACAAGAACATACAATGAAATGCAGTTATCTCTACAATTACCAGTGTGAAGTATTACAAAACCATATTAATCAGAATGTTCATAGCAACTAAAGCAAGTCAAAAGTATTTGACCTCTACTGATATGAAATATTAAGTCCTATACTCTGTTCTATGTTACTTTGTAGATATTTTACTTAATTTTGGTGTGGATATATGGAGAATTAATTTACAGGACTAAAATTTAATGAATGCTAAATTTGTCCTAACTTTTGTCTGATATGTCTGTAAGACTATATATTTAAGGTGTCGTAATAAGATTTAATGAGCCCAAAACTTATGCCATTTAGATTTTGTTTATTTTAATTTTTTTAAACTTTACAAATAAAATTCTTGAGAAATTACAAAAAAAAATAATTTTGTCTTGGAGACACTGATTTAGAAATTTCATTCTTAATCTTTTAATGTAAGTCAGTTAGAGTCAGAACCCACAAAAGTACAAAGTCCAACACTGTATATATCACAACGTTTACACATATAATCTGAAGGTGCCACTGGAAACTGAGCTCTTACATAAAAATGCTTAATGATATTAAGTGCTCAAAAAGGCAAGTTTCAGTTTATATTGCCCCATTTCTGGTAATGGGTGTATGCCTGTCATGACCCTATTGAGGTGTGCCTGAATTCAGAATTTGACTTATGCCTTCAATCTATATATACCAAAATATCCCAACAAGAAAAAGGTGCAAGTTGTGCTAATATATTGTGCTGTCTGAATTGTCTATTTTTATTCAAAAGGTAAAAAAGATGCAAATATCTTGATTTATGTACTTTATTATATATATGTATTGTGTGTAATTATATATTTTATAAATTATTCTCCTGTTTTGCTGTCGTTAGTCTACAGATTAACTAATGACTGTTGAAAAGTTTTTATATATTTATAAATTTTTAACCAGATAAAATTAAAAAGAAACTCATAATCAGTCAGCCAATCATCCAAATAAAAAATACATAATAAAATAATGTGTAAGTTTTTCTCTCATTCTGAGCCCGTTTATACTTTCCCCTTTTTTATAATCAATGCGTGGTTCATTGATCTCAGTACTTCGTTGGTCAAAATTCAATTATTAAGTCCCATTTTCTTGCTTTCCTCTGAATTAGCTATTGTTATGTCACTAAAAAGTTGGCCATGCCTGATGATGTCACACAAAAAAAAAACTTACCTTTTTGCAGATTATTGAAGTTGATCTACTTAATGTCTAAATATCATCAAAGGAACCCATTCGACGACCATATCTCATACAATACAATATTTCTCAACTCTCAACATATAAATTAAAAATATTTAGAATTTGAAAATGAGTTGAGCTAATAAACGACCCTGCAAATGTGGAATTTTCAAACTTCAATTGTTTGAGTAAATCAAATGTGTATGTATTGCTAAATGTAATACTTTTGAAAGTATAATAAGAAAAATAATGTCTGCTTCATATATTATAAATACATTAGCTTACAATAGGAATAGATTTCATTTTAGTCCATTTTCTAGAAATTTGTCACCTTTTTCGAACTATTTTCATCATTTTATATGTGGCTACACCCCTCACCCATTGACATTTTGGTTGAAAAGTAAAGAATATGATATATAACAAAAATTTAAAAAAAATAGTTGTGGATGAGGGGTGGTGCCACTGTTAATTTTTCAGAAAACTGTCATAAATTTTGCTCAAGTATGCCAAAAAAATATGTATCTCACTTAATGCAGTGGTAGAATCTATTTGCATCAAACGCTATTATGAACAAAATAAAGACTATCATAAATGAATGATATGTTGTTTGTTAACTGTATATGGCACAATATATTCATGACATGATGAGGACAAATATGCAATTTTGATATCATTACATGTTTTGAACAACTGGACACCATTTTTATCAGCATTGACCTTATACCACATCCTGTGTGTTCAACAGTTAAAGTTGAAAAAACCAAATCTTTCAATTATATATTATAGTGATTGTTATTTCCAACATTGTTGTTAGTGATTAAAAACATTGATATATTTATTATTGAGTGTGTTGGTAGCTCATGTACTCGTTTGAAAAAGGCTAGAGTGTGATATATACATTGATATAAGATAGTATTATTTGAGTAGAATTTATATATTTTTTTTTATGTTATGAGTATTTACAATAGATGGTCAGTATTGTTATTAAATCAAATTTAAATATGGATGCAAAAGCTTGTTCTGTAAACTGTTGATTCATATGCATATTATGATTAGGTATTAAGTTTTATTGAGCTTTCAGGGACTGGGAGCAGATCAGGGGTTACGATGAAAAGGGGGCATAATTGTTTGTAATGGTAAATATAGCTGCCAGTATAACAAGGTAAATTTTTATGCCCCACCTAGGGGCATTATGTTTTTCGGTCTGTTCGTTTGTTCATCCGTTCGTCCGTCTGTCCCGCTTCAGGTTAATGTTTTTGTAGTTTTTGATGAAGTTGAAGTCTGATCAACTTGAAACTTAGTACACATGTTCCCTATAATATGATCTTTCTAATTTTAATGCCAAATTAGAGTTTTGACCCAAATTTCACCGTCCACTGAACATAGAAAATGATAGTGCGAGTGGGGTGTCCCGCTTCAGGTTAAAGTTTTTGGTCAAGGTAGTATTTGATGAAGTTGAAGTCCAATCAACTTGAAACTTAGTACACATGTTCCGTATGATATGATCTTTCTGATTTTAATGCCAAATTAGAGTTTTGACCCCAATTTCACTGTCCACTGAACATAGAAAATGATAGTGAGCGTGGGGCATCCGTGTACTATGGACACATTCTTGTTTTGACAATTTTATTTTCCAATCAAAGGGGGCTTACATTCTTTATTGATGTAAACTGCATAGTAACTATATTATCCTTTACGACTCACAAAAAAGATGAAGTGCAAGGTCATCGATCTACTTGCCGCAATACATGTACTGTGTTACAAACCTAGATAAAGCCGATGAGGAAGGCATTACTCTTCTAAAAAAAGCTTTATTTTTAAATATCATAGTAAGCTGAGTGGTTAAGGTTGCTGGACACAATGCAGGCGGTGTTTAATATCATGTCACAGAAGCATAGGTTGAAATCCTGTTGAGGTAAGAAGAAAAGTTTGTGGTGATCTATATTTTAGACAAAGTATATATATACGACATAGTTATTTTAGATTAGTATTTTTGTACCTCATTTTAAGTTCATGTACTTTTTTTAACAAATAGCTATTTATATTTTATTTTACATTGATAAAGTTTTTTGTCAATCAAATTTACTTGTGATAAAAATGATCTGTCTTAAAATGCTACTAGGATATTATTAAGTGTAACCATTGTTTTTGTGTTAGTGAAATGTTTTTGACTCATCTGGACAAAAGCCCAGTGTCAAAATTAGCTATAATTGCCATTACTAAGCATCCATAGTCTGTTGTCACTTTTCTTGTCTGTCTACATTTTTAAAACCATCTTCAAATTCTAATCTGAAATCCCTTGGCCAATTGAAATCAAACATTATCTGATTTTGACCTAATTACAATCCTTAAAATTAACAAATTTCAATAAAATAACATTTTTTTCAGTCAAAACAGCTTTCTGATAAATTTTCAGTTTACATAGAATTCTATTCCATTTTCAGTCATACCTCTTTCTGTTCTGTTTTCAGTTGTAGCAGAGATTTTGTTCCGTTTTTAGTTGTAACAGCTTTCTGTTTTATTTTCAGTCATCTTAGCAGATATGTAGCTGATATTTGATTTATAACTTTGTACTATTATTAGTCGTGTCATTCTGAGTTTTATATTGGTTGACGTACTTTCAATATGATAATGGCTATTTCATTACGATAACAGTTAGACAAGTATGAGTTGTGTTTTGTTTACCTCCTTTCCACCTAGTTACAATCAGGAAACAGCCTGCTATTCATTTTTCAGCAATCTTAGAAAACATTAACCTGAAATTTTTTTTAATTTATTTGTGAAATGAGTAATTATTATAGATAATATAATTATTTCGTTCCAGTGGACAGACTAAACTGTGAATGTTTCATTTAGACAATTTTGATAAAGCAACTTGGCCTTATCAAAGGTTTGGCTGGATTAGGAAAAACCCTATCTAATTATTTGCTGAAATGGTTTCGGAAAAATATTTTTTGCATTAATTTGAATCAAAATATTACATTTAAATAATAAGTTTTCGGCAATTTATTGGGAAAATGCTTCCCACTAAAGACTAGCTGTACATGGGGATCCCCAGCCAATTTCATGGTGAATTGTTGTAAATAACATTTGATTTAACACAAAATGTTGTGTTATTCATTGAATACACTCATACTAACCAGATTAGACCAGGTATTTGAAACTCCTGCTTAAATATTTTTGAATTGAGTTTCAGAATGGTTTTCAGCTTCAAAAGCCCTGCCATGCTCTTTAAAATCTTACATGAAGATTAGTCAAGATTATTAACTGATACCATGTGATATAAGCTATACAGGCTCCTTGGAAGTTTTTAAAGTATAAATTGTTTATTTAATTTTTGATAAATGTTGATTGTTATAGATTTTTATTATGATGACATTGTCTGAGGTTGTTTACTAAGTTATTATCCTGTACACAAAGTAATATCATGTTAAAGTTGTGCAATAAAATAGTTTTAATGTTTATCAGAGAGATTTTTGTATTTTTTATACAACTGCAAAAAAAATTTGCGGTCGTATATTGGTATGACGTTGGCGTCGTCGTCCGAAGACACATTGGTTTTCGCACTCTAACTTTAGTTTAAGTGAATGGATCTCTATAAAATTTTACTATAAGTTTCAATACCACAAAAGGAAGGTGGGGATTGATTTTGGGGGTTATGGTACCAACAGTAAAGGAATTGGGGGCCAAAAATAAGCATTTTTGTAACTTCCAGACATAACTTGTGTGTTAGTGTAAGGATCTCTCTGACATTGTACCACAAGGTTCCATATCACAAAGGGAATGCTGGGATTGAGTTTGGGGGTAATTGCCTCCAAATTTTAGGAATTAGGGGCCAAAAAGGGGCAAAAAACAAGCATTTTTCTAGTTTCATGACAATAACTTGTGTGTAAGTGTATGGATCTCTCTGACATAGTACCACAAGGTTCCATATCACAAAGGGAATGCTGGGATTGATTTTGGGGGTAATTGCCTCCAAATTTTAGGAATTAGGGGCCAAAAAGGGGCAAAAAACAACAGTTTTCTAGTTTCATGACAATAACTTGTGTGTAAGTGTATGGATCTCTCTGACATAGTACCACAAGGTTCCATATCACAAAAGGAAAGCTGGAATTGAGTTTGGGGGTAATTGCCAAAAACGTTTAGGAATAAGGCCAAAAATAAGCATTTTTCTAGTTTCCAGACAATAACTTGTGTTCAAGTGTATGGATCTCTCTGAAATTGTACTGCAAGGTACCATACCACAAAGGGAAGGCTGGGATTGAGTTTGGGGGTGATGAATCATAAGGGGGTTCAAAAAATTTGGGGGGGGGGGGGATTTTTTTCATTTTTTTTCTTTTAAAATTTTCCATTTTAAATTGGTTATTTCTGATTTATATATAAAAGCAAATAATAATGATATGGTTTGAATAGGTAAATTAAAATTTTTTAAGTACTAAGACCACATTCATTCTGTGTCAGCAACCTATGCTGTGTCAAATATTTAATTACAATCCAAATTCAGTGCTGTATCAAGCTTGAATGTTGTGTCCATACTTGCCCCAACTGTTCATGGTTCGACCTCTGCGGTCGTATCAAGCTGCGCCCCAGCGGAGCATTTTATTTCTGTATGCAATGAATGTAAAAGTTAAGACTTCATTGCAAATATCAATATTGCATTTAAAATGTTCATTACACTTCAACTGAAGTGAATACAAAGAGATATTTGTATACATCAATGAAGCAGCAACTTAGCAACACAAAACCAAAAGAAATAAATGGAGGTCAACATTCGGTCTTTAACAATAGATGAGCGTCTATATAGTAACAAGGTCTAAATCTGAAGTCCAGAAAAGTTGTAAATAAATTTGAATAGAGCTTTCATATATCCTCTATCCATATCAAAGTCCCTAATTCGAAAACAATGTGTCATGTAAAGCCATATTCCAAGGTTGATGGTGGGTGGGTTTCATTGGAAATACTGTTGTGCAATCACAGTCAATGTTGCTGGAATACATCAAATGGCTTATTTTGAACATTTACAAGTAAGGCATTAAAATAGGAATAACAATACCGTATTTGAAGATATTCTGCAGTCAATTTTGGATTTGAAGGTTGTAAATATTCATTTTACTGTCTCCACTCCACTTCCCTTTAACTGTAAAACTGCATTTGCAACAGTCAAATGCCTAATTGATGGTGACAAGTCTTCCAATACTGTACTGTTATTCCTTAAATGACAAAAATAAACACAGACAAGGATCCTGTCTTGGGACAGGCCCATGGATGTATGGTGTGTTTATGAGAGCTTTTTGTACACTTAAACCTCTAATTTTTCAATCTAAATCAGTTGAATAACAAGAGTTACAAAAAAAAAACATTCAATCAAATTTGTAATACTGCTGTTAGTGTAATAGTGTAATGATGACTGCCAAAAACTAACTTTATTTATGGAAAAAAAATCAACAAAAATCAAACTATTCATGTTCTTGATTTTGAATAAACATCTGTCCAAGTTTCAAATAACATACCTTAAAAGTCGTACATTGTTATTGATGTCTAACAAGATTAATACAAGGCTATACATAAATTTTAACTGCAAAGTCCATCTATTATATACTGAAAAGTGAATAAAAAAATACTTTTAAATTTGGCTTCAGATATTATTTAAGGTAGCTGGGGGGTCTAAATGTTGGACAATAGATTTTCTTAATCTTCTGAAAAAGACTTCCGGGTCAACATACTTTCAAATTTCAATATAAAAACTGAGGGTCACAGACCTTGCTTTTTAGTTAAAATACATTGAAATTAACGAAATCAGTTATTTTATATGGTTATCTAGGGGAAACTTAATGTTTCCTCACTGAGGAAACATTAAACAATAGAATTGTTTAAGATTCAATGAGAGCATTGCTTTTCATAAATTATAATATTGAAATATAAACTAGAAATAGGGGGTCACAGGCCTTATTTTCTTAAAAAATCCTAAAAACACAAATTGTCCTATCAAATTCAATATAATTATCTGCCCTTAATTTGAAAAGGATTTTTTTTCTAAAAAAATTTCAATACTCTTAACGACACTTAATTGTTTGATAGTTTAATCTTTAAATTTCAAGTATTAGATTTTTCTGTTGGATATTGAATGATACTTGGTAGAATATTTTTGAAACCAAATAATATTTTTGCAACATGCCCAGATGGGATGCTAAAAAAAAGACACCTGATTTACATTAAGCATAAAAAAATACTTCTTCCAATTTCATAAAATTCTAAGAAGGTTTGACAAAGTTATTGATGTCTAAAAATGATTTTATCCAGGATGGCATTGCAAAGCATATTTTCTTGTACCACAATTAATGGAAAGTACACACTCTTATTTGGATTTACAAACTTTAGCATCAAGACATTAAGTTGTAAGTAATATTAGAAGTGAATGTTTTGGGAAAGGAGTAGGGGCAATCAGGCCTTTATTTGGCCCAAATATTACTGCAAATTTAAAAGTTATCATACATATTCTTAAATTAATCAAAACTAGACTAAAGTACAAGATACTCAGAAAATAAAAACAAATCTCACATTGAACAAGTTACCATGGCAACAAACCATGACTACATTTGCATATTTTGTAAAATTTCTTGATTTTACTTGTTTTTCATCAAATTTTAAGTATATTTTAGATTGGAAAAGTATGTGCGCACCCAAGAAACAACTTTATATTTGGCAAGATTATGTCAATAGTTATAATAAAGCTTCTCTTAAATTATTTTGTTGTTTCTTGGCTGCGCATGATGTTTCCACAATGGAAAAAATGATGGAAAACTGCATAAATTCTGTATGTTTCATTGTTCTTGTGAAAACGGTACATATTGTGACGTCATCAGATAAAAATCTCTCAGTTTTTCACTATTTCTTGACCCTATGCATTTCCAAACATTATGTGCCAATTTGAAATAGTTATCAAACATTTTATTTTCTTGGGCCAAAACCAGGCCTTAATGCCCCTACTCCTTTGGCTAAACAAATCCTGAAAACATTGCAAAATGAAAATAATGGAATGTAGACAACTATCCACCTGAGACTGAGGGACATGGATGAAATTAACTATAGGTCACTGTACAGCCTTTAAGAATGAGCAAAATTACTGTATAATCAGCTATTTGTGATTGAATTTAGTTAACAAGAGTCCAAACGCTGAAATGTCTTGCCTGCTTTACTGACTATAATTAATTTTATTTTGAATGTCTTAATGGTGAAATCAAAGATTTCTACAAGTAAGTATTACATAAACTTAACATTATCAATGATCCATGACAATGAAATCAAGGTCAAAAACAAGACAGACTACACCTTATAATTATAATCATTTCATACACCAACTACATGAATAGGTAACCTATTGCTTACGTACAGTATCCAAGAAAGAGACAAAATCATGAAAACTTAACATTGAACAATGAACCATGAAAATGAGGTAAAGGTCAGATGAACTTTGCATGCTGACAGGCATGTACACCTTGCAATCATTCCATACATCAAATATAGTTGACCTATTTCTTATAGTATATTAAAAGAGAACAAAGCAATGACAACTTAACATTTGATCAATGAACCATGAAAATGAGGTCAAGGACAGATGATTCCTGCCAGACAGACATGTACACAATCATTCCATACACCAAATGAAGTTGACCTATTGCTTATAGTACCGTAGAGTGGGTTATTTTCGCAGGTGTAAAATTTCGCGATTTAGGGACAACTAAGTATACGAAAAATTTTGGCGGTTTTTATTTTGGTGGAATTTCTTAAATCCCAATTAAATATTTTGGTGGATACTGAAATTGTTGCAGTTAAAAAGTTGTAAAACTTGACAAACAAGTGTCTATTGTTATGGTTAATTGATTTTTTTTACCAGAATGACCTCTTATTTATTGATTAGTTTCTGATACAGTTAATCATTAGAATACCGCTAACTTAGATATTTGTTACAGGTATTCAAACGTCTTGTAAATTTTACGATTGATTATTTAAGAAATTGACCAGACCTTTGATGTACTTACTAATAAAATTACAAAATTATCATGAGTGTACACAACTCTTATATAGTTTGAAACTAATTAATAAAGGTAACTACCTGATAAGAGTACCTTACACTCTTATTCTAATTTACACTTATCAATAAGGGTATATACACCTGACAGTAATTTTATAAAATACATTTATGTACAATGCCCTTTGGCATTTATCTTGTTAAAACTAACATATACCGTTATTGACCTGCCGACAAGAAAAATTAGATCGTTTACAAAATCCTTTAACCATGTTAACTTCGAAACTACCCAACGTATGCATAAATTTTCGCGGAATTTATTTTCGCGATTTTCATTTATCCGCCAAAATAAGCGAAAATAAACACCCCGCGAAAATAACCCGCTATTCGGGGTATTTGAAAAACAGTCCAAACCATGAAACCTTGACATTGACC